ATGCAAATAATACTTAAATATAAATATGCATTCAAAAGCAGTTTTAAATCCAGAGACTATTACAGTTGCAGTAACTCGATGAAGGTTTTCTTTTAAAACCCTGATTTGAAAATTGTGAAATATTTTATGTAGTAATGTCAGGTTTTCATATCATCAGTTATGTGATAAAGAAACAAAGATTTGAATTTTTACAAAGCGTTTGTTTCGTCATTTAAAGGCGTAATGTAACAATGAACAGTAACGCATTAAATAGGCTTCTTGCTGAGTGACAATACAAGAAACTCTTACACAACGTATTTATCATGGGTTATGTAACCCTTTCTTTGGAGTGTTACATGCTATGCTGTTACACATTGCTTCATTAGCGGTAGGCTATAGAAATTCGAGTACTAGTTGTTTTCATTTATATTTACTCACGCCTACGACCGTCCATGCGCCCTCCAAATTAAATACGATTAGGGGTTATCAGTTTCTCTTAGACGTAGTTTTGCATATGAAAGGTTTAGCACGTTTTCAGAATCATTGTTATACTGACTAATATAGCTTAGATCGTTTTGTAGGGTGGTTTTTCTTGCTGTTATTTCCAAGTTTTCATTCTGTTTGTTGTATCATTCATATCCATTCTGTTGATGAAGGCATAATGAAGAGGGTTGCAGACGGCTCATGTCGAATTAGAATATAAATAAAAAGTTTTAAACTATTACATCGAAATAATTTGGATATATCAACAAAGTTGAAGTGGTAAATTGGCCACCGTAATATAGCTTAATATATCAGCGTAATATATCAGCGTAATGTATATACAGCGTAATACATCTCGCGAGTCAAAGAGAATTGACAAGTAAAATTACAGTACACAGTGATGTTCCAGTCATGACGCTCAACTACTTTAATTACTCTTTTATAGTCTTCCGAAACCAAAATATTTTTGCGCGTAGTTTGGTTTCGGAAAAGTAAAAGGATTTTCCCAGACTGATGAAAACCGAAAATATACAGTGACAGTTAAGCTACAATGTCCAA